CGCAGCCGGCAAGCATCGGGCTCAGGAATGCGGAGCGACGGAGGCCGTGGGAGCCCCGCCAGCTTACATAAGAGCGCAGTAATTCAGCATGTGCTGAGCTCTCACTCGCGTTTGTTTTCCTGCCACACGTCTGAAACCTAAAAACAAGCAGCAGCAAAGATCCGGTTCTTCTCCAAAGCAAAATCAGTGGCAGAAGTCCCAGTTACTCTTAGCAGGAACAGCAGGGCATTAAAACAGAATTCAGAATAAATATCAAAAAGTACTGCTAGTGGATTAGAGCCATCCCTGCTGTAACATTGCTCCTGCAAAAACTAAAAGATAGGGTAGGCTCCAGAAATGTTTGCCATGTGGCTGTGTTTTAATGACACCGCCTTCATCCTCCCTGCACCCTCAGGAGTACTTTATAAGTGACCACCGAAGAAAATCTACTCTCTAACTGGCAACAAGTAACATGAAGCCAGGAAATTGTCTGCATTATTGTTGTATGTTTCTCCCTTTACAACCAAAAATATAAAGGAGGTGCAGAAACATGACTGGGGCTCAAATAACGTGTTAACTGAATGCACAATTATGCTGCTCACATTCTCCTGCTCAGGTGGGTTGCTGCTAGCCCCCAAAACTAAAACAATATCGTGGTCATCTCTGAAGTGCTTGAATTATTTACAATAACAGTATCTTTTTTTCATACACTATAAGTCTTGATTCATTTTCTCTGGGAGCATATGAAGGAACCGAGGTTAAGCTAAGCTGAGATTGAGAGCCATATTTTTTTTAAGAGTAGGGCTGAGGCACCTTCATTTCAGTGGCCTTGATTCATCATGAGATGCTATCTCCTGAACTTGCTACGCATCCTCGTCAGTCTGTGCGGTGAATGCTTCTGAATAGAATCACACAGAATCACAGAATCGTTTAGGTTGGAAGGGACCTCTGGAGATCATCTAGTCCAACCTCCCTGCTCAAGCAGGGACCTCTAGAGCATATTGCCCAGGATCGCGTCCAGACGGGTTTTGAATATCTCCAGCGAAGGAGACTCCACTACCTCTCTGGGCAACCTGTGCCAATACTCTGTCACCCTCACAGTCAAGAAGTTTTTTCTCAGGTTCAGGTGGAACTTCCTGTGGTTCAGTTTCT